TGTGGAACTTACTAGAGTAGAGCAGCTGTGAGAAAGCCAAGTTCCTAACAAAAGCTGTCCTCTGCCCAGGTACCATTCGCACCTTCTGGTCTCAAGGTGCGCTACTTGAAGGTATTTGAACCGAAGCTGAACTACAGCGACCATGATGTCATCAAATGGGTGCGATACATCGGCCGCAGTGGCATTTATGAAACCCGATGCTAGCTCCTGGTGGCAGTTAGCCCACCTCCCCATCCACCCTTTTCCACAGGTCCAGGGTGCCTCCAGCCCCCCAGCCACCACACATAGGTGTCTCCTCTCTCCTGCTTTGCTGCCTTCCCTTTATGCCAGCCCCTGAGTATAGGTCTGAACCAACCACATCACAAGTGGGACTGGTAAAGCAGTCCCTGGGCTTCCTGGGCAGGGTGGTTTTTGAGGCTTCTGCTCTTCCATCTGTCCTGGCTTAGTACCAGGCCCTTAGTTTTGTGACCAAAGCCAGGTGGGCCCCCTCTCCTCTCCACCCCTGTGGCCGAACCTCTGTGGTAGGAGGGTTGACTGTCCCTCACCTCGGAGCTTCCCCAAAGGCCAGTAACAGATCCCCAGCCTTCAATCCCTACTCTACTTTGGGATAGTGTGAGCTTCGTTTTGTACACGTGTTGACTTCGTCCAGTTATAAACCCAATAAACTGTAGAATGGAGTTGTTGGCTAAGTGTTAATGTGGAAACTATAAGGGGAGGGGAACTGGTGGGCCTGTCATCCCCATAGTTTCTCATTACTGGTTTTGAGTAGAATTTCTATTCTGAATGTTCTCAAGGCTCTATCTTAAAATCTAGTTGTTAGGTCCCTCTGGGGCCTTCCAAGTCCCCTTCTCAATGGTGTTAGTTGGTTCTGGCTCCTCTGAAAAAAAAAAAATGCCTCAAGGACAAGTACCACCACCTTAACTCATTTTTAGATTGGATTTTGTTTGTGTTGTGGGTAAGAATTTCGGTTTTTTGAGACAGGGTCTTGCCAGGTGTAGGCCTGGCTGATCTGAAATTCATTATGTAGACCAGGCAGGCCTTGGACTTTGATTCCCCCTGCCTGTACCAAGTGCTGGTATTACAGAGTTGTGTCTCCACTCCAGATTGTTTGCTTTGAGCAGGATCTGGTAGTGTAAAGCCCAGCTGGCCCTGAATTCAGAATCCTCCTGCCTCCACCTTCCAAGTGCAGTATTGCAGGTGTGCAGGTTTTGTTTTTGAAGCACAGAGACCAAGCAAGGCTTGTATTTATTCTTGCAGCCATCTTGAAAAACTGACCTTAATTCCATCCTTTTCTCATTTAGCCTAGGTTCCTGAGTCTTGATATATGATGGCCAAAGGAAAGATTTTGTTTGCCCCATGCATCTTACCAAACTCCTCTGATGGGTATCTCCATCCCTCTAGAGCCCTTGAGGGGAATGAATGTCCCTTGTATCCTGTGGTTTTGTTAGGACAAAGAAGAACACAGGCTTTGTTAGTGTACTTGGTTTCAGCTTTTTTTTTTTTTTTTTTTTTAGTTTTTTAGTTAGAAGATGGAGTTTATTATAGAATACTATTAGGCACATTCAAGGGTAAGAGTGGACACTGACTAAAGGGGACAGTGCAGAAGAGAACAGAGAGTGGCCAAAGACAAT